TTAGGTGTCGAATCTGCTCCTTCTCAGGCCCTTTTTCCTTGGAAAGGGAGCTGCTGCTGAGGAGCAGCTTTGCCATCAGCTGTGTGGGAGCAGGAACAAGCCAACAGGCATTGTCTGGCACGAGGAGAAGCCCAGGGAGGGACTGGGCTGCTCTGGAGATGCTCAAGATGCTCCTGTGGAGTTGTCATGGGTACGATGCTCATCTCCATGGCTACGGGGGAATGTGAGGGATGTGGGAACGGGGCTGGGAGCTGAAATGCTGCATGTTCTCTCCCAGCTGGTGTAAATAAATAATGCTTGGAACCATCCAAGAGGTTTATTTCCAGGGTTAACAGCTGGGTTTTAGCTGGAGCCTGGAGACAGCTGAGATTCCAAAACGGTTTTATTTACGAACAACTGAGATTTGCAGCATCTCCCCTGAGGTGTTTCCATGGTGGATTCCCTGAGGATCCAAGTGTGATGCACTCAGAGGAGGCTCAGGGGGGTTTACTCACCCTTAGCCAATGTGATTGAAAATCCCAGATAACATTCCTGCTTCTGAGCCAAGATTATGTGACGGGAATGGCCCCCTGAGAAATAAAGTCATGTACAGATAGTGAAGTTCAGTTTTGACAAGGATATGTAGAAGGAAACATTTTGAAATGAGGTGGTTTTTTTTTCCCCAGTTAACAATATTTTGGATAAAACCAAAGATTATGCACAGCAGGACCATCTAGTTAATACAGTCTGGATTTTGGATGTGCCAGTTTCGGGGGATGAGTGGAGAGACATCAGAGCCAACAATTCTCCTGAAGGATTTCTCCTTAATTTTATCTCTGACTTTACCAAAGCAGGTCTCAGGCCACATGGAGAATACCAGGACAACAAAGTCATGTTCCATCTGTGCAGAGGGCTGGGATTGCAGGGGAAGGAGCCCACAGGCTTTTTAGAGCCTGGGATTGCCGTGACCTCTGTGCCCTCAAAAGGAAAAATCCAGAGGTATCAAGCACAGGATGCAAAGCATTTTATCTGGTGATGCTTCAAGGGGATGGAGAATGGTTTAGATGATGAAAATAAGCCCAGCTTGGGAAATGTTTTACTCCATGATGGGCAAAGAGAATTTTTTCTCGCCCTGTGGTTATCTCCAAAGCTGCCTCTGACTGAAGGACACAACAGGAAAGTGCCCTTTCCCAGTAGCTCTGGCGACCTTGGCTTGGTTTGCAGAGCATTTCTCAAGCCCAGAGGGACCCTGAGTACAAAATAATGATCAAAAGGCAAAAAAGGGAGGAGATTCCATTTACAGCAGAGGATCAGGACTGGCTGCTTATCCCGAGCTCACTCTGGGTTTGTTTCACGGGATCATCCTGAAAGCAAAGCCTCATCCAGAGCCATTAAACAGCAAACAGTGATCAGCACTAATAAAGCAACACAGTTTATTGTTCCCGAGACTTTATTCTGGCCTGAAAAATCTGTGCCATCCAAAACATTCTCACGGCATCGAAATTCCAAGGAGTTTTTCATGTTAAAAACAAAGGAAACTGGAGCGAAGCCTCTGGGACTTGGATTCTCACAAAGCTGAGCTTGTTTGGGAATTTGAGTTGAGGAGTCAGTAGTTAATTCATGGCTCAAAAAAAAAAAATGGGATTTTGGTATAATCACATAACTCCTCAGCTGAGATTAAATGAAATTTAAGATGAGAATTGGGATCTTATTCCTCCCTCAGTAATTGCTGGAGCTCTGCTGCACAAACAGCTTGAAAATGAACATTTTGGGGATGGGAATGAAATTCTGAACAACCCTCCATGGCAGCTGGTTTGTATCTAGGCTTCCTGAGCTGTTTTTAGGGGATGATGAGAAGAACAGATGGAAGAGGTCATGGGTCCTTTTTCTGGAGGAAAAAGGGAGGTTGGTGTTCATTGAAAAATGGGGAGAAAAGAAGGGAAACCAAATAACAATGGTAAAATTGGATACTATTGTAATTGCAGGAATAGACTGATTCTGGCAAAACTGGCTGCACTTTTCCTGTGTTTCTCCTTAGTTCCGGGAATAGAGGAGAACAATTTGGATCCTGAAATAGGTGTTGGGGGGGAAACACACCTGGGGTGAGCAGAGATGCCAACCCAGGCAGAGCTGCTGCCTCCAGCCTTTGAATTATTAATTGGGATCTATTAATTATAGACACTTCTGGGGTCAGTGGGTGCAGCACGAGGAAGGTGAGGTGTCCCAGGGCTTGAATTCCAAGAGGAGGATTTGAGAAGGGAAGTGGTTTAATCAACACCAGTTTGGTTCAGTCTTTAGAAGTCGCCCAACACAGATCCAGACAAACTGAGACAGGAAAAAAACTCTCTAACAGAGGAGACACCCACTTTTCATTACAAAAATACTTTTAGGAGCTGGAAACGAGTTGATTTCAGTCTTTAATTTATCAATACAAACAATCAAGCAGAGGGAAGGTGCCTGTGTGGGGTGGGAGTGGAGGTTAATCATAAATCATGACCTGGCTTTGGGTGGGGAATTATTATCCAGCTTGTCCTCACTTGTTTTTTTTTCAAAACCAAAGTGCCCTCCAGGTGGTTTAGAACAATTTTCTGGATTATTCCTTGGTGATTTACCATTAACTCAAAGTTCTTCACATATTTAGTCCACCTACCTCCCAGGGAGGGAGCAGAGATAATGCAGTGCTGACCATACACATAATATGCATCTATTTTGGGGTGAATCTCCCTGTTATTCATTATTTATCTGTTATTTATTGTGACCCACCTACAAGAAATGATTTTAGGAAGAAGAACCAGATGAATTCACTTTGTTTGTTTGTTGGCCTTGATGATCTCAAAGTTCTTTTCCAACCCAAACAACCCTGTGATTTTGTGATTTTTTTTTAATCAATGGATGAACTAAATAAATACTATTGCTTTTATGTTACTTAGCATTTAAAGCAGATAATCCCTGTGCTCTTCTGCACCACAAAGTGGGTATTACTGTGTTTAAAACGTAACACTACCATGGAGAGGAGCTTATAAAAACGAGGGAGACCTTTCCTTTTTAATTATCTCAGCATTTCATGACTCTAAGCCTTCAAAATACATCAAGCTGGGAGCAGGAAAGTCAGGAATGTATTTCCTGATTGAATCCCAGGTATGAACATCACTTTTCCCCACCACCAACCCTCCTCTGACCACAAAATACTCCGTTTTAAAGCTGATTTTTGCACATGACGCCATCACATGTTTTCCAGATGGACTGAGGGCATCCCTGGAGATGGGGGTTCCTGCAGAAATCCTCCTTCGGGTTTCAACTCCCTAAATCCCTTTGGAAAAAGCCTTTCCAATACTGACCTCTGCAGGCGAGGAACTGCCTAAAACCAGCTGACTCTGGGCAACAATAACCTAAATAATACATAAACCAGGTGTTTCCTGCTGGCTGTGGGTAGGAAGAGCCTTTTAATAATGCATAAAAATGGGGCACTTCTCTCTTGGTTGGCAAACAGAGACTATTTCGGGGAGGGAGATCCTGGGAAATCCTCGTTTGGTGGATCTGCAAACTCCTGTGTGGATTTTGTAAATGATTTGCTGGTTGGACAAAGCAGTTTGAAAGGAGGGGATGAAGGATATGAAAGAAAAGCAGGAATTTCACGCCATAAATGTATAAATTGGGAGGCAGAGCCCTGCCTGGGCTTCCCTGGGAGCAGGGGAAGAGCCCCCTGACCATGACAAGGGGATGGAACGATGGATCTTTAAGGTCCCTTCCAACCCAAACCATTCCATCATTCCATGACTGAAAACACAGCAACCCCCCTTCACCTGCAGTTTTGCCCCTGAGCCCCCAGCTCAAATTAAGCTCTAATTCAGCTGTAATCCTGAGGGCAGGAGAGCCCTGAGCCCTATGGTGGGAGGGGGTTTTGTGTGCTGGATCTTGGGGGGATGGAGTTGGGGGTCCCGTGGGCCACTACCAGGGGCTTGCCCGTTCACCTCCTCAGCCCCGGAGCCCCCTTGGCCCTGGAGTCTCCTTGGATCCAGCCCTGGAGCCCCCACCTCCATGTCACCCTCTCAGCCCTGGAGCCCC